GGCAGAAACCTAGGACAGACCCCGCCTTAAGTGGGTGGCCGTTTGCCTCGACCTATCCATAGGTAAAAGTTGGTTGATGATTAAAGTGGAACTTCAGCGCCTCCAGTGGTCAATTTATCCCTGAGTGGGAGCTGTGCTTTCACACTGTTGCATATACTCAAAATATTTGGTGCTGATACACAATTGCTGTGTCAAATTACTGCTGATTGGCTGGCTGTCATGGTTTTTCCTCAATCCAAGTACAGCAGATTTATAGCACCACCTATAGATGAAATCTCAATGCAACTGCACTATTCAGGATTTCTGGCAGTGTGAGTGAAATTTGCTGAGCTCGTTTCACCTTTAGCAGTAAGTAATGGAAAAAATAATCTCACACTTCTAAACACTGCCTGACATCTAAATTTTGCTTCAAGCTCAAATACCTTATTAGCTATTTATTGACAAATACACACATTTTTTTTCTGTACACAAGTACAGAAAACTATTTGTCTGGTGTCAGTGAGCCCTGGAGTGAATAAAAAGTGTTGGTGCATTTGAGGAAGGCCTTGCTGCCTACCTGTAGTCATTAGAGCAATTGAAGGTTCCAGTTCTGATCCCAAACTGAGACACTTTCTGCACCATTTTCTCCCAGTTGGACTGACTGAGCAGAGCTTCCCGGCCTTGAGCAATGACCTGCAGGTTCACACAGGGACAGGACAGGGTCAGACAGGTAATACTGAACAAATCTGTCAAGGGACACTGCAACTATAAAGTACTAAGGTAGCAGAAGAATCATTATCAGTTCTGCCAGACACTCAAAATAGTGAGTACAGACACACATGCCAACAACAGCAGAGATTCATTTTGTTCTATCATCAAGTTGCTCACAGAATTAACATTAAACAGTGACAACTGATATGACCTGACATATATCATTTTAATGGGTGAAAGTGACAGTCGGCTAAAAATAAGTAGCTGCTTCCTGAATATTTTGTGGCTTTGCTACTTTAAAGTGAGGAGAGACAATTCAAAGTTAATTTTACTAGTGCACCAAAATAACTTTTGACATGCAGACACTCTCATATGCAGTAGAGTTGTTTAGATACCGATACCAATACTGGAAATTCCTTTAATATTGCCTAAAATCCTGTATCGGCAAGTACGCGTGTCTATACACCAATCAGATACCACGTAATTTATTAACCCTGGGGCGGCTGTGGCTCAGGAGGTAGAGAAGGTCATCCACTAATCAGAATGTTGGTTGCGGTTCAATCCCCGGCTCCTCTACTGAACCCCAAATTGCTCCCAATGCTGGGCATTGTATGAATGTGTGTGAATGGGTGGATGTGGCATGCAGTGTAAAAGTGCTTTGAGTGATTGGAAGATTGAAAAGGCTTCCCCAGCAGCGTCCTGTTCACCATTTTGTTTCCCCAGAAGTCATGACCCACCCTACTCTGAAAGTGTACTACTAAGCCGGTATACAGCCTTTTACCCAAGTACTGATACTTATGGTGAACTCAGGACATCTCTACTCCATTTCTGATCTGCGTGTGAAAGCAGAGTCACAACTAGCTTTTGTGCCCCTGGCTGACATCCAATCCCAATGTTATTTGGTATTGCTTCCATAAATCTTGGGGACACAATTAAAATAAAAATGGAAAAAAATGTGTATTTGAGTATTTTAAGAGTATTTGATGATAGAGATTTTCCTAGTGTTTCAATTTACCATTATTGCATGTTTTTACCTGAATCAGCCAGATCCCATCTTTAGTGTCCTCCACTAATTCATAGAAGTGCATCTCTCCACTGAAGTGTGTAGTGCTCGCATCTCCTGCCTCTGTCTGCTCCTTCTCTTTCTTGATGGCTGAGTACAGCTCCCCCTGTGTCAGCTCTCCTGTAGGGGAATAAAAAAGTGCCATGATCTGAAAAGGGCTCAGGATGTATTTATCCAAACCCAATCCTAAATTTAGGTTTGGGTCGTCTCCCAGCCACAATTGTTGCACTAAAATGCATTCCACTTCCAGGGTGTATGGGGCACTTTGGGTGTGTGTTCACGGCTAAATGCTACGGCGGTGTCATCAAGCATTGCTTTGTAAGCCAAACTCTACGGGGCAATGTTTAATGACATTGCCTGGCTTCTTCACGGTCTCACATCTCTAACTTGTGCTGTCATACCTCAGGGATATGACGTCTGGTTGTATGTCTCACTCTGTGCTTGGTACGTCTGTGGGGGAACCATCCATCACACTTCGGCCAGTTTGGTCATGTTCAGCTTGAAGGCGTGTGGTGACCAGTTAGGTCTAAGCTGCTGTATGAAAGTATGTGTGAAATAGAAATAGTAGTTTCAGGATGTAACTCCAGTTCTATGAGCAGGTGTATAGGCCTGTAACTACAGCCTCGGGTTCCTCCTGTTCTAGTCACCATATTTCTTACTGCATACTGCATATAGTGTATATATTTTCATTATAGTCTTAATATTTTTATTTTATTATTCTGTATTGTGTTTTTACACTTCTGTACTTTTTGCAATACATTTCCCCTGTGTCAACTTGAATTTCTCCCACAGGTGATCAATAAAGGAACATCTTATCTTATCTTATCTTATCTTATCTTATCTTGAGTTCGGAAGGGAGATGAACAGCAGGTGCATTGTTGTTTTATTGTGTGTGGTTACTACTTCCTGATTGGGTAGCGAGTGCAAATACCTGTCTCTGGGTGAGAAGGCGGAACCTCAATGGGGTTAACCAATAGTGAAACTTGTTAAAGGTCTACGCACATACTCATAGGGTTGTGGTTAGGTTCCTGTGCCTCTTCTGTTGAGCAGTGCAAGGTTTTCTTTGTTTATTCTGTGTTGTATTGATGTAGCCAATGAGTGTAAGAGGAGAGAGGATGCTTTATCAGAAGAACTGCTGTTTTACTACTGTGTGTGGGAACTTCTGGAGGTGTAAAATAACACAACAAATAACATTCATTAACATTAGATCGTGTCGACGATTTAAATAATCAATAAAGATGCTGTGCCTCGTGCGTAAATGCGTATGCCGTCTCTCTTAATGGGGAGAAACTCATTGAGAAACCTCAATCCAACCGCTTTTAACGACAATGTTATCCTAATTTTAATAACTCAGCCCGTCAGATCAATCTCAATGCTGCAGTTTTTACTGCGATCACTATAAAGCAGGTAGTTTATTCATTAACAGGTGTTTGTAAACAGGTAACTCTCGCACTGATGTATCATTATCATTAATCATGTGTGCAGACAGAAACTCCATCAAAAGTCTCTACAGCTGTTAAAGCCGACTGACAGCTGATCCAGCTGTGATCAGCTGTCGCCGTCATCAGAAATGGACATTGCTTCATGTGATGCTTCAGAGGAAAGGACATCTCAATTCACTAAAAACATATTTCCTTGTTCCTTCTTCTCATTTCCTTGCATCTCTCCATGCATCCCTGGAGGGAGGGACTAATATGCAAGGAAAAGATGCAAGTGAGGGAAATGTGGATACAGCGACATGAGACAGACTCATACCTACTATTTTTGTTTTGCAACAGATTTGTTACGGTCAGAGCTTATAGTGGATCCATGGAGTCAGAGAGGAGTTAATTTTTTTCACAAGTAAAAAGAAGGGCAGTGCTGCAACACTAGCAAGCTGAGGTCAACAAAACACAGGAGGGTACAGCAAATAAATGAGAGTTCAGTAAAGAAAGGATCAGGTTTTTGATCAGCTTTAAAATTGCCAATACCGGATCAGCCTTAAAATCGATAATTAGCATCCTCGCTTACACCCTTACATACTAAATCCACAGGGTCTTAATGAGGAATAGTTTTAACTTGTCTTTGTAATGACTAAGTTATATATACTCTATAACAAAGTTAATTTATCTACATATCTTGAGAAAGCAGAAGGCCTACTGGTTTGTTGAGACCACAGGATAATTACGGAAAGCTGGAAAATGTCTTGTTCATTTGATCACACCTGATTTCATCCTTCTTACATCAGGTCGGAGAATTCATAACTGAACTGAAAAGTTCTTGACCAAATGTACATCTGAGAGTTTATTTAAGACATAATTTATTACAATACTGACTAAATATATCAGGGAAATATTGAGATTTATTAAATGAGCCCTGCAATGTGTTTTCATTCACTTTTTCTTGGCTGCTGGCTCATTTTGGTCAGTATGAAAATGAATATTAACTGGCATGATGCATGTCATTTCTCCATGCATTTAGCAACAGGTTTGATATCTCGTTATTTCAAGATAACAAAATAATCGTAATCAAAACATAACAGCATTTTAAAAAATTTAATGGCTTTGCTTCTGTAGAAGCCAGCCCATCCTACTGTTACTTTTGAAGCTGCAGTAGGTAACTTTTATAACTAATAACTTTTTATTTAACAACTTTTTGTCATATTTGCTGAAACTTTCACTGTGTCCTGACAGTTGTACATAATCTAATCCGATAATCTGTGAAAAAATCTGGTTCCTCTGGAATACGACTCAACTATCTTTCTAGACTCTGATTGGTTGTTTTTGTTAGACTTGAGGGGAATCTATCTTAAGGAATCCAATCAGAGAAATATTAAAATTTTCACTTTTAAAGATAATAAAGTCTTCATACTAAATTAATCATCAAACTAGGATCATCATCATCCTCATCTTCATCCCCTTATCTGGAGTCAGGTCGCAGGGGTAGCAGGTCCAGCAGGTCCAGCAAAGGACCCCAAACTTCCCTTTCCCTGGCCACATCGGCCAACTCTGACTGGGGGATCCTGAGGCGTTCCCAGGCCATTGTGGAGATATAATCTCTCCACCTGGTAGTCGGTCTATCCTGGAGGCATCCTCACCAGATGCTCCTTTCTACGTGAAGGAGCAGTGGCTCCACCCCAAGTCCCTTGAGGATGACCGAGCTTCTTATCCTATCCCTAAGGGAGACCACCCTTCGGAAAAAAAAACAAAAAAACTTGAGAACCCTGAGGTACTTGAACTCCTTCACTTGGGGTAAGGACTCACTCCCTACCCGGAGTAGACAATCCACCGGTTTCCTGCTGAGAACCATGGCCTCCGATTTAGAGGTGCTGATCCTCATCCCAGCTGCTTGACACTCAGCTGCGAACCGATCCAGTGAGTGCCACAGGCCGATGATGCCATCAGGACCACATCATCGTCGAGGCAGACGACCACCCACCTAGAGCCGAAGGGTCTGCCCTAGGTTTCTGCCATTTAAAAGGCAGTTTTTCCTTGCCCCTGTCGCCAAGTGCTTCCTGCCAGTCACGCCCCTCCAAGTGTCT